AATAGCTAGAACGGATATAGGAGCCCTTTAGGCTCCACAACTGAGCTATATTTCAAAGGTTTTTAATTGTCTTTCCCCAGGCGAACAGAAAGAACCGGTCAATTTCTTTTGACATTTATATATAAAGGGACAGACCGCTACGTGTCGAATCTTGAACGTAGAGCCAAACGATCGGCAAGCATACGAAAGATATGACTCAGCAGACGCTTCAGTGCGGCATCAGAGAGTTGTTATCCAAACACTAACAGATAAACTGCAGTGTTTTTCACCAAGTATTCCCAAAGCTGTGTGCTATACTAAGCAAGCAGTGATGATCAAGGACTACTCGACATCTTCAGTGAGAGGTGGCCGGGCCCCTGACTGGCCTTATCGTATGTTGTGCACAGATGATTGAACCTATAATACGTCATACGGGGTTAGCTGGTAGATAAAGTGAGTTCTTGAGTGATGTGATCAGAGGTGGCACAGCTATCCAGGTAACTGGAGCGATTGAGTCACCGTTAGTTGACAAGCTGAGCTGTTGATGTGTCACCCCAATCCAACAAGAGTACTTATTTTAAGAACAAACGATTAATTTAAGAATGTACCGAAGCTGCTTGTCAGATTGCTTCGAAGTGTTTATCTAGAGGCTGGGTCCGACCCAAGGATGAAGATGGTCTGCGTATTCATATCTGTCAGTCGGTCACCCGGAAGATGGTTCAATCCAAAGAAGGCTGACAAGGCAGTCATTTATGGGGGTTTCGCTTACAAAGAGAAAGAGAAACGGGATGCAAAACAACGTTATTGAGCCCCAGTTCACAATTAGATCTCGGGAGACCGTTTCCCGCATATCCAAAAATGAGCTCGGGGGTACAAAGCATAACTCCCGTGAACCGCGCTTTGTCAAGATCCGGTTACTCCACGAGGGTCTCGCAACATTGGAGAGAGATCCCAGGCAAGTCATCAGTTGATGTCATGTAAACAAACGAGATGGAATTGAACAATGAAATGGGAGTCATTTGAATGAATAAAACTATGGGCCAGACAAGTCGACGTCAATGGCCAAAAATGAAGTTATCCCTGCTGCATATGACTCGTAAGTTAGGAACCCATCCATGTACTGCAGAGAACTGAGGATACTACATTTACCGATTAAACGGCAGCCGGATGATTAAAAGTCACAATTTCAGCGTGGACAGCCAATTCTGTGTAATAACCGTTTAACAGGGAATGCACCAAGAGGTTTTGTTTGCTTTCCCGTCAGGAAAACACGATCCAGAGTAAGTTCGATCATTTGAGTAGTATTAAGTGACCATGAAGGGCCAAGATGAGCAGACAGGAAAGCGGTACGAATTGGATTCAAATACAGTGAATACCATTTGGTCGAAATAGCATTAGGCAAGAAAGGTTGTGATTTCCATGGATCCGTGGTACAGAAGTCTTGGAAGATCAATACAGAGCTGACAACAACCTGTGATGTTGTTTCATGATGACCGCTTAGTGAAAGTCGAGTCGAGTCTTTCGTGTAACCGAGAGTTTGGAGGACACCATCACATGAGCCAATTGGCTAATGGAGCACTGCTCGCCACCTTCTAGGAGTGAAATATATCAAAGGCTATATGGATGAGGATCCGAGTTTTTCTTCTGTTCAGACGTGGGCTCTGGCAGTGCAAGGACACCACAACTAGCCGTACATAAAAGAAACAAATCTAAGCGCGTACTGAGACTGCCGTCGCAAAGCAAGTGAATTATTACACTAAACTTCATTTGCCACTGGTTGCCGAACACGAATCATCGCAGCTAGCTGATCAGCGCGTGTGTTGGAGGAAATGGGCACCTGGGAGCCACCAAACGTTTTGTCGCAACTGATGTAAGCACATGGACCGAGAAGTGCTAGTTAGCCATCCCAAAACGATGGACATGTATTGTCGAATGTGCGACATCAATCAACATGCGAAGGACTAATGTGACTGCGTGAGAAGTGAACATCGATATAATGCGCATGTATCCGATGGATCCAGTGGAACAACAATGGTGAGTGAAAGGCAGGTCCATGACAATATGTGCTGACGATCAACCACCGCGCTGTGTACGTGTGGAACAAATGTTTCACAAAGTGTGAATAAATAGTGGGCATGGACCCCGTGTTAGGCAAAGATTGTAGATACGTCTCCCAGCGGAGCGTCTTATATCTACGGTCCTTGTGAGTTATTGAATTGTCCGGATCTCAGTGTGAGTGTGAGCGTGAAGGCAAGAACCGTGCAACGGCACGCAAACAGGTCCTTGACCAGATTACTTCGAGCTCGTTGCGAACCGAGATGAATTACAGAGTCACACAATGGGGTCACGGATGTGAAGATGCGATTAATTTGTAAGGCTGAAATGTGGCGCTTACAGTACCCAGGGTCCGGATTAGTAATAGCAACACTAGAAAAACAATAGCTGTGTTCTTATGCGCATTTAATCGTGACAGGTGAATTCGTACAGATGTGATTATGCGCTTGCATGAGCAATACATGTGCCGATGGTTCATTGTACCCATGAATGTATATAACACGGTGAGTGTGGATGGCAGTTAACTGAAAAGCCGCGAAGTCAAATTTCGAAACTCGAAATGGGAGTGCTGTGTATGTATACCGCCTCTCCAGTACAGGCAATTCGAAACGTTTGTCAAAACATTTTAAGCGTTGGGCCGAACACTTTGAGAAGCAACTTACTAGGTCAGAGTTACCACTATCTCCATCGGTCAATGATCGCCCTTCTCTCATTGGATCCGCTCAGACGCGCAAAGTTAAAATTGTATAAGGCCACGGAGGGACTTTCTTTAGCCTTTTCCAAATTCGGGAGGTCAGATCTCGTGGATGATTCGCATAACCTACTAGTGAGCTTGTGGGTGCACGAGGTTGCCTCAACAAACGCAGTACGCTCCGTTTTAGTCCTATTTTCAAGCGATGCTGCCGTTCGGAATGCGGCAATCATGGACGAATTCGTCTGATCTCAACTACCTGCCTCTGTCATTCTCCATAGACTGACCGGCAACCGTGAACGCCAGATTCGTAAACAGCAAGCCGAGTTTCGTTGAAATCAAAGCTGTTTCGACAGCAAATTCACTTTAGCTCAGTTGTTGGAACACCGTCAAATCTGTTGGCGACCCACCATAGTTGTGTTTCTCGACTTCAAAGGTGCCTTACGTTCGGTGTATCGATGTGCCCTTTGGGATTATCTATTCATGAAAGTGTACCCGAGAAATATATAAATATTATCAGAGCACTGTACGCACACAGTTCGGGCAGAATGAGGGCCTACGGCAAACCATCGCTGCTCTTTAATATCTCCAGTGGTGCGAGACAAGGTTGCCCGCTGCCACGATACCTCTTTAACTTCACCAATGAGGCTCTCATGGAAACGGCTATAGCAGCGACAGTGGAATGGAATATGAGATCACGAAACGTATGGCAAAAACTCGAGGCGCTTTTGCCACCTGTGGTGCCGGCACGACATCACTCTCACGCTGAAGAGCAGAGTTTATAATGCAGCCGCGCGTTCAACCCCACTGTACGATTGTGAAACGTGACCCATCAAGTCGATCATCGCTGCTTTCACAGCTTAACCAGTTTGGTGGGGGGCACCGCGCAAGCAATGAGCGTGTTCTGTGTCGCGTATTTGGTACAGGAAGAGCGAGTGAATTGCCCAGCACCATGATTTCACGTGCTGTGTATGCCAGAACACCGACTCCCGCTACGTGTGTTTGCGCGACCTGATCGTGGATGGACGAGAAAGTGGTGGGTAAGCGACAAGTTGGTCAAGAGGAACGAGGGATCTTGGCGTCAGTTGGTGCCTCAAACCACCGGGCTGGGTACCGAAACATGATGAACACGTTTGGTTGGATACACGTGTTGACAAACCATAAAGTCGACTTCAATGGCGTTTGCGTTGTGATCTTCTTTGTCCCTCCTCATCTCGTTTATCATTTTCCTCCAAAAACGACGTATGCTTTGAGGCGTAATATATTGGCAATCAGTATCTTACCTGTTGTTTGTTGTATTCTATAATGTTCAATAGCTGGCTTTTTCATATGTTGTGTCGTCCGGTAAGTGGACGACACGTATGTCTTCATCAAAAGAGATTCTATACAAAATATCCATGAGCTAACCAACCACACATGCCACGATATCGGCTTTGTCGTGAACTCGAAAATGACAACCAATTACCATTCTTCAACGTACTGCTCCACAGAAACACTGGCGGAAGGTTTCAAACATTTGTTTATCGAAAGAAGACC